ACAAACTAGTATGAATACAATAAGTGCAACAAACTAGTATGAATACAGTAAGTGCAACAAACTAGTATGAATACAATAAGTGCAACAAACTAGTATGAATACAGTAAGTGCAACAAACTAGTATGAATACAATAAGTGCAACAAACTAGTATGAATACAATAAGTGCAACAAACTAGTACGAATACAATAAGTGCAACAAACTAATACGAATACAATAAGTGCAACAAACTAGTATGAACAAAATAAATGCAACAAACTAGTATGAATACAATAAGTGCAACAAACTAGTATGAATACAATAAGTGCAACAAACCAATACGAATACAATAAGTGCAACAAACTAGTATGAACAAAATAAGTGCAACAAACTAGTATGAATACAACAAGTGCAACAAACTAATATGAATACAATAAGTGCAACAAACTAGTATGAATACAATAAGTGCAACAAACTAGTATGAATACAATAAGTGCAACAAACTAATACGAATACAATAAGTGCAACAAACTAGTGTGAATACAATAAGTGCAACAAACTAATACGAATACAATAAGTGCAACAAACTAATATGAATACAGTAAGTGCTAAGTGGAAGGCTCAGGGTAGTACTTCTTGAAGAGGTGAGTCTTCAGCCTGATGAAAGATGGGCAGCGACTCTCCAGGTGTGTGTGTGTGTGTGTGTGTGTGTGTGTGTGTGTTACCTGAGCTGCTGACGGTCTCTGTGTTTAGAGGACTGGAGGTGAGGTTGAGTGGAGTGAAGGAGGAGGTGGGAGGAGGGTCTCTGATGGAGGAGTACATGTCCTCCTCACAGGACGACTCCAGAGGATCCAGAGACACTCTGGAGCAATCGATCACGATGTCATGGACTTCATAACACTTCCACCTGAGACACACAGGAACTTCATTTTGAAAATCCATGTTTCTCTTCTTAGTTTAATGTCATGAATTACATAAATTCAGCTCAGGTTTGGTTCACCTGTTTCCTGTGAACTCACCTGGACGGGTCCAGTTCATAGTCCTGAGTCCCTGTGACCAACTCTGGGTGAACCCTTACATGTTCCAACATCGGCTGAGAGACAGACGGGAAGAGAGACAGATGGGAAGAGAGACAGACAGGAAGAGAGACAGACGAGAAGAGAGTAATAAAAAAACTTTAATATCAAACAGTAACTTCAAGGCCTTCTCTGCTGGCCTAAACAGAATCACAAAGTTATATCAATTTTATAATTTAATATTAAATACACTACATGTATTATAATTTATAAAAATATTTTTCCCATTATCTTATGTTCTCATTGCACAGCTCCTGTCTTCCTCAGTTGCTCTGCTTCCAGTGCAGCTTGTTTTAAGTAGAGCTTTTATCCAATCAGATCTCACCTCTGTGTCTCTAGGTAAGAACAGAGGCAGAGGCCTGCAGACTCACAAGTGAATCCATGTGCAGTTTAAGTGAATGGGGACGATATTGTTGATTGTCATAGTGTTCAACCAATCAGATCTTTAGTTTGACATGTTGGGCGTATTCTTTGACGTGTCAGAGCCTGCTAGCTGGCCTACAAGTACGTGATTGGTCAGTGGGCTAGCCTGACATGTTGGGCGGTGACAATCCCAATATCTGCTGCCTCTGTGGAGCGGACATTTTCAGCCTCAAACACATTAAAACGTATTCAAGAAATACAACTGGGGAGGCTCGAATGTCTTCACTGGCGTCCATGAATGGAGAAGGACTTCTTACTGGAACTAAAACACACGGATGTACTGAACAACCGTGAGATTAAACTCTTTATTAACAAAGAAAGGAGGACTTTGTCTTTAAATAGTGAACAGCAGCTCTGGTAAGTTAAATGCATTTGTTTTTACATCTGCAGCAGCTTTAATATGTGATAGGAACTATTGTTACGTCCTATGTTGCTCTGGGGACATATTTAGTCGGTGCACAGCAACAAGAAGACAAGTGAAGCGGCAGAAGTCGATATACTCCGCACAAAGTGTTAAAGTCAAAGAGTTAAAGTTACACTGCTGCCAACCTCAGTTAATCAGTGACCAATAAGTCACCATCATTTCCATCAAAACTAAATACTCTCCTGGTCTCCTTTGGTCTTTACTAGTCTCTCCTAGTCTCTCCTGGTCTCTCCTAGGCCCTCCCATTCCCTCCTAGGCCCTCCCGGTCCCTCCCGGTCCCCCCCGGTCCCCCCCGGTCCCTCCCGGTCTCCCCTGGTCCGTCCCGGTCTCACTGACCTTGACCACCTCCTGGAAGGTGTCCAAGTTCTCCTTCATGCTGTAGTGGAGCCTCAGGTAGGAGATGAAGTTGCAGGGGAACATCCCATAGAGCCGGTGGAACAGAGAGTACACACCTGCATGGAGGTGGACCAGGTGGACCACCGGGACATGACCTACAGGGACAACAGCCAACCACAGTCATTTAAAATGTGTGTGTGTGTGTGTGTGTGTATATGTGTGTATATGTGTGTGTGTGTGTGTGTATGTGTGTGTGTGTGTGTGTGTGTGTGTATGTGTATGTGTGTATATGTGTGTGTATATGTGTGTGTATGTGTGTGTATGTGTGTGTGTGTGTGTATGTGTGTGTATATGTGTGTGTGTGTGTGTGTATGTGTGTGTATATGTGTGTGTGTGTGTGTGTATGTGTGTGTGTGTGTGTATGTGTGTGTATATGTGTGTGTGTGTGTCACCAGGGTTCTTGTGGCTCCAGGAAACGAGGCGTCCGAACACGTCAAAGAAGTCGTAGATGTGCTGCTTGCCGGTCTGAGGGATCATGGGTAACAGGGTGATGAGGACCAGGACTCCTGTGATCAGGACCACCACGTCTGTCTCTGTCTGAGGACACAAGCAGACAGTAGTCACATCAGTATTGTACTAGTACTAGTACTAGTACGAGTAGTAGTACTAGTATGAGTAGTAGTATTAGTATGAGTAGTGTAACTGGTATTAGTACTAGCACTAGTATGTATAGTATTGATAGTTGTACTAGTATCCGTAGTATCACTGGCAGTAGTACTTGTACCTTGAGGCAGCGCAGCAGCGACGGCAGCAGAGCCGAGCGGCTGATGTGATGAACCCACGGAGGCTGTTTCCGGATCAGGTGACCCAGCAGAGTCAGACCAGCCAGTCTGGATCCTGGTCTGTTCAGAGACTCGTTCAGCTTCTCCAGCAGCGGCTGAGGAACCGTTACAGCGTGTTCATGATCATAAACAACACGGACCAACATATCTAGATATCATGAACACACAGCACCAGAGAGTCCGCTGACCTTGTGATGAGGCTCTCTGATGGAGGACAGGAGGAGCACCACCTGGGAGGAGGACGAGTCCAGGTAGTACTCCACCAGAGAGCACAGCACAGCACCTCCTCTGTCTGGGAGGACACACTACAAGTCACACTGAGCTCTGTGTAGATACCCACAATGCATTGCAATGTGGACCTAATGCCACACTTTTTTCACTCATGGACCAAAGAAGAACATCAAATGTGTAAATGTACAATATATACTGGTGTCATACAGAGACAACAAATACTACTGAAGACATATGGACACATACAATAGATGGATAGACAAAGGTAAAGACAGGTAGGAGACAGGCAAAGAGGCGGACAGACACAGGGAGACACAGGGACACTCACCTGTGCTCAACTGCTGATTGACAGCTGCTCTGACTTGCTCCGCCTCCTGCAGCTCTGGACTGTCCAATGAGAGCAGGAGCTCAGTGATACTCACCTGCAGACTGGACATCATGGACACCTGGAGACACACACAGAGACACGACACGTCTCCAATCATCCGATACAGTGACCAGGTGTATTATGGGATGTACTGAAGACACAGTTTCAATGCAGTACTGTACTTGTAATAGAGTATTTATACTATGTTACTTAAGCAGTTAAGTACAATTCTATGGTTTTTGTATTTTACTTGTGTATTTCCATTTCCTGCTACTTTATACTTCTACTTGTACTACATTTCAGAAGTATTATATGTAGTGTTAATGCAATATGTATCATTCTGCATAATAAATACTTTTACTTAAGCTACTTTAAGTATATTTAGATATTAATACTTTTGTACTTTTAGTAAAGTAACGTTTCTGTTGTACTTTTACTGTAACAGAGTATTTGTACACTGTGGTATCAGTACTTCTACTGCAGTAAAACATCTGACTACTTCTTCTGTATAAGTACATGTAGTAGTAGTAATCTGTGTGTTACGTCATCTCTGTGTGATGTCACTGTTGGGGAATAACGTGACGTCACACACCTGAAGTTAGTTGGAGTTCTTATTGAAGCTAAGCTAATGGTTAGCATTAGTGATAAACATCTCAGACTTTGCATTGGTTCACAGCTAACAGCAGGATGCTAAGCTAACATGTTAGCAGCTAGTCTGTCAGTCCGCTATGTGTTCTGGAGGTTAGCATGTTAGCTAACGGAGCTAAGTGTAATAAAGTGAAGTTTCCGTCGGTTACCTTCAGACCTGTTGATCCGAGCAGCGCGCGGCCATGTTGAGCAACACGAAGCCCCGCCCACCCAGCAGCTGTCAGGAGACGTCACGAGGCGTTCAAGGCCGGAGGAGAAGATGGGACAAACAAGTGAGACCGACAAAACGTTTCTTTATCGACTTTGATGAAGAGCAAAGAATTAATGGTGCTAATACATTTACCTGCTTTTTATACATATTTATAACTTTGTGAGTTTTGTTTTAAAGCTTCAGAAACTTCAATAACTTTGTTTTATTATTGAGTTCGTTCTGTTTGTTTTCTCTCAGATTATAGAAAGTCTCAATGAAGAGTCAATGACATCTAAAGTGATGGAGACACTGTGTGTGTGTGTGTGTGTCTGTGTGTGTGTGTGT